AAAAAAAAAAAAAAAAAAAAAAAAAAAAAAAAAAAAAAAAAAAATCAATTCACACCAAGATAAAGCAAGGAAAAGAACCCTTAAAAAAAGACAGGATAGGTTCAATTGTGAACATTGATCTTCATTATAAAATAAATCTACCTCATCAAACTACTGTTGGGGTATGCATGAAGAGCTTTTCTAAGATGCATCACTCCACTATGGAATCCCAGGCAGTTATCCGTTTGATGTTTGATCTGTCCAACCAAAAAGAATGGTATCTAAGTCACTGTGTTAACACAAATCAGAAAATGTAAGAGACACATGTTTCAACAGCGAGAATTAAAGCCAACCAGCTTAGAAAATGCAATCAAAATGTGCATTTTAGTTATCTCTTCATGAGACTGGAGGCAGGAACGGCAGCTTAGAACAATGGAGTCAAGCCGATCACACCCATCAATGGCATGAATAGCAGCCACTACAAAGCTCACTTTTGAACTCCGGAAAAAATGGGTTGGCATCTTCATGATACTGTTGATTGCGGAATCCAATCCAGATATTGAATACAACAATCTGCATATGAAACCAACAGATGCAGCAGTACGTGTTTTTTCCATGGTAGAGATGCAAGAAGCAAGGGTTCTCACGGTGCTAAGGGCCTGGTCATTCTTTCCTAGTTTCCATAATGAGAAAGCATACACCTGCAGACCTTCGATGTCGAGCATGCCTGGAACCACCAAAAACTTCAAATCTCTGACACAGTTTGTTAGAGATTTCTCACTTTTATAACGAAAAACTGAAAAGATTTAGCTTCCATGAAAAGTTTCATTTTTTTGTTAAAAAAACAGAAGTAAGCCAAAATCAGAACCTTCTTTACTCAAATTTTCATATTCCTGCGAAGCTTCAAAGAAATTTCCTACCTGCACAAAAGAAAAAGCAGTTCAGAGAAAGAAAAATGTTCCATCTATGGATTAATGTCGGACATTTCTCCATCCCCAAGAGTAGTAATAGATAGAGAAAAATAGTACGGTTCTAGGTTTCATGGTACACACAGATGTACAGGTCCAAAAAGAAAATTAGTAAACTTCACCATGCAGAGTGATCTGGCTAAGTTGATGGATATATCTCTGACATGAGACCTTGGAACTCTATCTGAAAAATGGCTAGTCGTGAGGTGTGCTAGACGATAAGCAGCAACAGCAGATTGATAATCCAATTGTGCCTCAAAAGCTAGTCCATTTAGATTATAGGATTCAGGGTAACAAGGTGCAAGTTGAACAGCCTGACGTATGGCTCCGAACACCTTCACATAAAAGAAAAATCCATTAAGGCACTCTGAAGCAAAAAAGGTTATCAAGTAGAATTTCATCTATCACTTGACAATAATCAGACCTGTGGAGATGAAAGATGGCCTGCCTGCAGAGAAAGCTTGGCAAGTCCAATTTGAAATTCCGCCACCTACAAGGATAGTGCTTTTAGAACATTTTTTGTAGACAAAACACCAAGAGCCAACAACTGCACAACAATCGATAAAAAAATATATATAAAAAAAGTCTACAAAAGAATGTTAGAAAGAATAGTTTTTTCTTCCTTTTTTATTTTTTCAAAGTTATCCAGGCATTTAAAAATTAAATAGTTAATACTAAAACAGAGTACTTGATTTCATTTCTCTTAAAACTGAATCAATTTAAGCAAACCCTTTCAACAGATCGGTTTCAACGCTACTATATTGATGGTATTAGAGACAGTAAAATTACTGGTAGTATTGATGCAGCTCTCAAACAGCTCTCAAATGCTTCATCTGATGTGGACTCACTGTCAAGTAAAAACTTCATAGGTAAAAGGGTGATATGCTACTCACAAAATGCATCCAGTACAACATCCATATTTTCTTCATGATGATAAACACCTCAAGAGGAACATTTATATATCACCTAATATTCAAATCAGCCGACATGCCAGCCCAGGGTATTGCCAGAGATGGATCTATACTTCTGGCATAATTAAATGCCTGTCTTGCCAATTGCATCTCTCCCCTATTCCTGTATAGCTGTGTAAAGAAATGAGCAAGAAACGTAGAAGAGATCCAAGTTTAGGAACAACAAAATATTCATGATCATTAGCTCAAGTATGATGTGCATGCTCCAACCAAACGGTTCCTAATCACATCCAATTCTCTCAATGTCTTACAACAAAACATTTGATTCACAAAGATCGAGCCCCCAACTGAAGAAGGTTCTTCAGAACTACCACTTGCCACAAACTTACAAATAGATAGGAAAAAATTGCCCAGCTGACTTCCCTAGCAGAATAGATATGTGATCAACCATTAGGCACGTCTATGAACTAACTACTTTCATAAAAGAAAGGAGACGTGCCAAATATTCTCTCAATGCGGTGATACAGTTCTCAGTAGGACCAGAAAGGTGCATTGGGAGTATCAGGTGTAGATCATATCACCGAATATTTTATTTTGAAATATTTCTTAAGTTCATTTTCTTTTTTCCCTTTCTTTCTATCCTTTTTTGGACAGGAAACAGAACAACTCAATCTAAAAATAAAAAAATAAAAAATAAAAAGCAAAACATATAATGGGAGATAAGGAGTCTCCCTACGAAGAAGGGTCGCTAAGAACCAGCCTGGTCCAAGTTAATCCAGAGAAAAGAAAATTTACAAAATTTCCTTGAACGGCATTCCAAAACAAGACTGTCAGGGAAATTGAAAGATACAGTATAATTCATTGTAGGAACCCAGTTGTTGTTTTCTGAAAGAAACTTCTCGTGTGAGAATTCAATTTACATTTTAGTAGAAACTCATTGTAGGAAAGTAAAGTTTTGTCTTAGTAGTGTTTAAACCCAATGTAAAAGGCATGTAGAATATAATTTATATGGGAAGATTTGGATAAAAAAAAAATGAAGCCTCAATGGTTAATAACATGCATTTGAAAAAAAAATCAAGTAACATCTTCGATTTCAACTGATGAATTTAAAACAATACAGGTTCCTTGGAGTCTCGCTCGTGGCAGGTTAAATATCATGGACAGAGGAACCCTCGAATATCTTTCTCTCTCAAGTATGCTTAATGCGCATAAACAGTGATAAATCTCCTAGTGACCTTTTCCTTTATTACAACTTTAATTTTAGGTGTTGGAACTTCATGTGCCAACATTCAGATCTTACGTGGTGTGCTCATAAAATATAAAGATTTGGAAATGCTCTCAAGCTGATGGTCTAAAGATAAAGCTAGAGTTTTGTGGTCATATCCTCGCAGTGCTGCCATTTGAATCCTTTAGAAAGAATTTAACTCAAAAATATTCTCAAATAAATTTGATTCTTCAGTAAATTTTTGCAACTACATACTGTAGACAACCTCTTAGATTGGAGTGCTCTTAACGTTCCTCCTGTAGTACCCCCTTTCTATTTGATAAACTTAACTTGAGGCCTTTTGTGAGATTCCTCCTTGGCATAGGTACCCTTGTCCCACGGCTTTTAGGTTGCTTTTGTCTGGTCTGTTTTAATATTCCTCTCTGTTTCTCATTATGTAGGTGTGTTTTCGTATAAATATGGCACCAAAATCGAAAGATGGAAAAAAAACAACTTCGACCATTAAACTCATCAAATTCTATCAATTTGAACTTTAAACTTTCAATTTCATCAAATTAATCTCAATATACAAGTATTGCAACCTTAACCCTAAGTACTATTTTAACACATGAAAAAGTTTTCGCTTCAAAAATCACTCAAACACATGTATGACATGAAATTGATAAAGCTTTAGAGAAAATATTATTGGAGCTAAAAAAATGATGAAAGGTATGAATTTTGGAGAAATTAGTCAATGGTTAATCAGTGCATAATCGAACTTAAATTAATGAATTTATGAAGGTTTTTACATTGTCTTCTACTAAAATTAGTAGGCAAAGTAGTGAAAAGTGAACTGAGAGTAAAAACTAAAACACTTACCTATACGATCAAATTTGATAAAATTGAGAGTTTAGGGTCTAAATTGACAAAATCAAACCTGATAAGTTCAGAGTCAAAATTGAGAGTTTAGGGTCTAAATTGACAAAATCAAACCTGATAAGTTCAGAGTCAAAATTGATTCTTTTTTTCCAATGGTAAATGTCCCAATCATAATCTTGAGAATAAGAACCCAAATTGTCCGAATCACGGCCAAGAAATTCAGAAGTAAAAATCCGATGCTTCAAGGAAAGATTAAAAAATTAAAACTAAAATTAAACAATTATTTGAGAAAACAGAAACTTGAATTGAAAATCTCAAATTTGTCGAATATATTAGCATTTGCACTACGCCCACAGACATCAGGCTTCCAAAAAACTTGAAGCCAGAAACTCGATGTTCTATTGTGGAACTTAGATGACCTTGACTTGAGATAAGCTAATGGAAGACCAGCTAATTAAGAATGAGAAATTCTAAGAAATTAATCGAAGGATGACGCCAGATATTTCTCAGTATGGTCACTTTTCAAGGATGTAAACGCCACTAATCAAAGGAGAAAGATAACAAAGTACGCCGAGATCGTACTAACCATCCAAGGGTGTTTCTCATATCCCTCACTTCTTTCTCACCCAAAGAGTCGTTTTAAAATTACAAACCTAAGACAAAAGGTACCGCGTTATTGACTTTTGGCTGCAAGGGACACACCTCTAATCAAACTACAAAAACACACAAGGGAATGGGCTCTGACATAGAGGACTTTTTATCAAGCCCGATGTCGGACTCCAGTCCATCCCCTCCCCAACCCACCCTACCAAGCAGATTCCCCCTCTTTGCCAGTCTTCATGGAGGAACCTCTTCACCCACAGCCAAACCAAGGCCCTAAAATTTGGCTCCTCCTCATATCCCTCCTAAAGAGCCGCTATGTGCTACTTCCGCAATTCCTCCCCGCTTAACCCCACCATTTATGATAAATGCAGTCCCTGCTCAAAAATAGAATTAGACCACCAACAAATCTACCCAAGGAAAAAGGGATGTAAGAGGTTTTCAATCATCGATATGAGAAATCAACAACCAATTGTGATAATCAAGCAGCTATAAGCATACCAAAAGTTCATCATAACATCAAAAAAGCATGATGAGATTGATCGTCAATTTTATCAAAGAAAAGATAGAAAGGAAGGTTGTAGCCCTCATATATGCTCCTCCAAAACTTAGCAGCAGACATTCTCAGCAAAGCTCTTCCTTGACCCCGGTTTGAAGATTTGAAGCCCAAGGTGGGTTTAATCAACATATATTTCCCTACATGAGGGGATTGTTGAAGCTGAGTGTTGAATCACTCTCTCCTTTAGACCCATCAGCAAAACCAATTGTTATTTATCAGATCCAGTAATTTAAATATTTATCGCACAGATTGTAATTTCCTTCCGTACCTTAATTTCCTTATCTTTCTTTAATTTACCGTCCCCTCTCTCTTAGTTTATAAGCTAGGTTTTGTATCATTTCGAAAGACACTTTGAAATAGAAAGAATTTTTGCGTACTAACATGGAAAACATTTGGTACCATCTGCTTCTAGAATTTGAGTTTCTTCCCACAGACTTCGATAACCACAAAAATGGACTCTTGAAAACAAGGGTGCTCGCGTATTTTCTTAAATCATCGACTCAAAAGCTGAGTGCTAACTCAGGAGACAACAGTAGATCCTTTGTTTTTTTCTATTTTTTTTTTTGAAGTAAGAAACCAAGCTTTCATTGAGCAAAATATAAGATTATACAGGGGCATACAAGAAGACAACTCCACAAAAAGAAGACCTAAAAACTACAAAAAGTGACTCCAATCCAACAACATCCAACCAAGATCATAAAATCCAACCTAGTTAGTGCAGCCCACAGGGAGACGTAAAAATCTCACCACCTCCCAAATCTTATCACCCAATCTTTCTATATTTTTAAAAATTCTACTGTTTCTCTCGAACCAAGCTCCAACAAAATAGCCACAAATAAATAAATAAATAAATAAAAACTAGTAAGCCATAAAAAAATTTCCTCCCAAAAAGGCAAGCTTGGAAACAACTCCTAAACAATAGCAAACCCATCTTGAATCCAAGTCAAGCACAAACCAAACGTCTCAAACCAACAGTTCCAAAAAGAACAAACAAGCTGTCATACCCACAACAAATGATACAAATCCCCATACTGTCGTCTAAAAAGTAATGCAATACTGAGGAAACAAAGCAAGCGAGGAGTGTCTCTGAACAGTCCATAGTATCAACTCTCCCATCACATGTAATACATGCAACACAAAAAATTTACCTTCCTAGAGATTTTAACCTTCCAAGTAGTGGAAAACGCATAGAAGGTTTGGGGTAGGGAAGGGCAGACAACACCTGAAACAAGGAACTACAAATAGAAACTCATACAAGAAGTGGGAGTCCAAAGCCTAGAATTGCTCCTCCCTCGAAAAACCTGGCAATTATGAAGGATAGAAAGCAGATCGACGTCTAATGCCTTTCTATTGAAAAGATTGCACTTGAAGCCCAACAGTAACAAGGAGAAGGTAACAGAAATTGGTAAAATAGAAGCCAAAAATGGAACTTTTTACTTAAATGATGCTAGGAAACGTTCGTGCCTTCCCCAACAGAACATTTAATAAACGAGGAACAAGAATGAAAGACAAAGTTGATTGCTTTCCAACGGTTTTTGTTAGGCCTTTTGGTACCACCATCTATGACCCACTCAAATGGGTGTGGACCATACCGACTCGTAACCACTTTGTGATACAAAGCATCTAACCCCATGAAGAACCACCACAACCATTTCGCCCTTCACCCACCAATCCCTAGGCCTTGCCTCCCAACTCCACCGACTTATCTATCACCTCCCACTTAACCAGATGGGACAATTACTTTTCATCAAGTCCATCCCTCGAGAAATTTTGTATCTCTGTCAATACACTTACTCACATAGACCAGATTTTTAAAAAGATATAAGAAATAACTAAGAATCTCACTCAACATCAACTAGATAAGTATGAACCTTTCCCGTTGGTGCAGAAGGTCTTTTTCAAGGAAGACACTCTTTTGAACAGCCAGGGAAGCCAACCACCTGTTTTGTACTATGGTGTGTTGGAATAAACTTCTCAAAATTTTCGAACTCACTTGGTTTTTCCTAAAAGCAGCTCTAATGGCCTTTTTCAACTAATTTCTGAAACCTTCTTCGATGGTCAGGCCAGAATGCTATGGTTCAATGTGGTGGTGACCATTCTTTGGAAGCTTTGAGTTGAAAGGGACACGAGAATTTTTCAACGGGTTAATGAAATATTATTTTTGTTCCATTTTGTTTCTTTTTCACTCCCTTACAGAGTTGTATCTTTGAGCATTAGTCTTTTTTCATATATTCAATGAAAAGTTAAATGTCTTGTTAAAAAATGGAGCTCGCTTTATAAGAGTTTCCATGACTACAATTTTTCTTAGATTTATGCCAATTGGAAATCCATTTTGTAATCCCCTAGGCTCTTTGAAATATCTCAATCTCCTCGTTGATGAATATACACGTCTCTTTTCTTCTAAAAATAACTACAATTCATTGATAAATGAAAAAGGTACTGGTACTTCAAAATTAAACTGGAAAAGGTTTTCATTAGAAAAAATGTAATATAGTTTATCTTAAAAATGTTTTGAGAGGTAAAGGAGTCTAAACATCATTTGAGATTGGGAATAAGATTGGAATAGCTACCCCGCCCAGTGGTCTAACAATCCCATAAAACTAGAGTACAATCCAAGTTTGTCCACAAGCTATGTTGCAATATCCAAAGCTTTTTTGGTGGTGACATGTTCCCCAATATATATAGAGAGAGATATGAGTTTTGAATTTGCAATGAAGTGAATATGACTTTGACCAAATAGAACCAACATTTCATGAATTATGTCATTCGCAGCAAGATTTTTTTCTCTCCATTAAAGGATTTGTGGTCCCAGCTCATTTTTGTTTTGCAATTCGTTTCTCTCCAAAAACTCCACTCCATTTAATGCCTCACAATCGACATCTTCAATTTCATTTAAAAACAATAAAATAAAATAAAGAATCCTAAGATAAAAATGACACATTCTAGACGCAGCTTTAGTGAAATACCTTCCCAAGATAAGCCCAGGCTCCAGCCAGCGATCCATCCAACTGTAATGCTCTTATAAAAGCATGTTGCTTCAACGCATCATGGTTAGAGATGCATCCCATTGCCACCCAAAATTCATGATTGTCACCCTCGAGCATCAAGGCCCCTAATGTCATCTTTTCAGATATCTGCCTGAGAATCTAAGAAAGTGAACATCCAACAAATATTGTGTGGCATCAAGATAGTAGAGAGTAAATAGATGTAATACCAGGAATTGAATTCAGATCCAGAATCACCATTCAAAGTTGAAATAATATCTAAAGTAATAGCAATATCTGTGTAAATGTTAGCTTCCCACGGAGCCAAGTGTAGAGCTTGCTGATAGGAACATTTGGCAGACAATAAAGCCAAACTGCGAGTCTGCTTCCAGGAAAGGATAGAAGTTCTAAAAGATTCTGCACATAGCCCCCAGTCCTCTTCCATCCATGGATAGCATTTTGCATACGTATGCTAAACAAGACAATATAATTCACATCATATTCTTTGTCATGTTAGTATACAAATATAGTGGATCATTTTATGCAAATATTAGCATTGGAACAATGTTTGAGAAGGTTTCTATTGTTTACACATTGAAGCTTGGCTTAGAGAAGGCTCAAATCTGAGCTTCAAAATTTATAGATCATAAGAATCTTACACCTACAGATGAAGTCACAGCCAATGGCTTAAGCGTGAGAGCACTAAAGCAATAGCTCACAAGAGCTTATGCCCAAGGTGAAAAAAAAACACAATTTTTTTGATGCGCACACTAGAAAAATGTATATAATTCTTTCATGTAAAATAATTCATGAAAAAAAAAATCAGAAATTCGAGGTTTTTTAAGAAATTTAAAGAAAAAAAGGATATACAACTCTATTAGAAGGAACCAAGTACGACTCAATTAATGTTAAACGAATAATAACAATGGTTCGTTTATCTATAAAAACATTAAAAAAAATGTCAACAATACTAAAAGTAAAAAACAGAATGAGTTGTAGTAATCCAGTCCGTTGCTTCTTTTACCATCAAATGCCAAAAAGAAACATTGAAAATAAAAAATTTAATGACGTTTTAAAATTTTTATTTAAGTGACAATTAATAAATTTTATTCCTTTCTTTTTTTACTTTTATAAAACTACCATGTTCAGTAAGACCTAATTATACATTTTTATGATTTTATCATTAATGTTTTATTTTTAGGATTTAATTATTGATGTTTTTTTAATGTGAATTGAGGTTTACAACTCGGACTGCCTCAAAAGTTGGCCCCTCTTCGAGAATAAAAGCTCCCAAGGTTACCTTGAGCCTTCAAAAGCATTGATGGGAAATGGGAACTATAGCCCTTAAAAAGGTACGCTTTCAAAAACATAACTTCAGACGGAAACAAAACCAACTGACTAAACACCTTAAGATAGCCGTGCGTACCTGAATATCTCCAAGCAACTTCCAGATACACGACAAGTTCCCAGCTAAATATGTACTTCCTCTTGCAACTTTAGATGCTTCCTAAAATCAAAAAATAAATATAGTAACAACAGAAAACGAGTTAAAGGGGAATATCCCTTAGATACAAGATAACAAACCTCTAACAGAAAGGATGCCCATTTAAACGCCCCCCTATTAATGCATTCCTTTGCCAAACCAAGCAGCCCTGAAGAGAGCCCAAATTGTGCAGTAATACTTTTAGGTGATATCTCTAGAGCTCGCTGAAAGTGTTCAACTCCCTTTTCAAATTTGTTAAGCATCATGACCAAATAAAATGAGTAACTTGGGAAACGTACAAGAACTTCAAAAGCATATAAATCTCTGATTAAATAAAGAAGCTCAATTCCAAGGAAATCCAAATATACTAAATAAACGTCGAGCCAACTCACCATATAATTCCCAAATCACCCGAAATCAAATGTTAGGTTTTGAAAGGCAAAAGGAAATATATCTTATTCATTTAAGAAAATGCTCAAATAACCCAACAATGTATACTAAATCCATGCAGAGCCAACTCACCATATAATTTCCAAATCACTTTAAGTCATATGTTCGGTTTTGAAAGGCAACAAAAATATCTTATTCATTTAAGTACAACGATGTATAACTTCAGCAATCATACTCCAATTCTAAATATTTTCATAAAAAAATAAAATATTAAAAAAAATTGAATATTAAGGCAGGTTCTTCAGGGAGAGCTAGTTAACGTATTCTCCAGGCAACAACCATACTCATAGGTGAACAAAAGGTACCATAGAAATGATCGGAAGATTGCAACCTGTAAATACAAGTATAGCAGACAAGTCTTACTTTTTTGAACAAACCAAGCATCAAGAAGATATTTCCACTCTCAACCCAAGCAAGAATTCTATCTCCTTCAATTTCAATGGCCCGTGCATATGACTGTTAGAAGGACAAATAATGCCAGCTTTAGTGATATCTATCTCACTCCCGAAAGGAAGAGAAAATTAACTTGGTTCATGAAAATTAGAAGTTCTATATGCAAAACATACCTTAATTGCAGCAGTAAACCGGCCAAGTCGCTGATATGCAAGACCCAGGGCCTAAAACAAATAGGCTAAGCAGCATTAACTTGGCTAGATAAGTACAATGAAAGTTAATGTCAAAAAAATTAAGCTTACTTCCCACAAATCAGCACAAGAAGGATATCCTCGAATGGCATGCTGAAGACTTAAGACGGCTTCAGTCCACTTCTTTTGAAAAACCTGCCAATTGGCCAGCAGAACAATAGAGATTCGAAAATGGAAGGCAAAGTCAAGTTGTTTGTTCTGTTTTACAAACATAAATCTTTAAATAATATTCATAATAGCAGACTTCAATAATAAAAAAATATCATGAGTTTATTTAAGGTCAATCTATGACTGACGATAAAGTAAGTTGATGCAATAACATAATATAAAAGGGTACAATCATTTCTAATTCGTGTTTAACAAGTATAATAAGTTTCAATCATAAATTAGCCCAGTTGTTAAGGAGACAAGCTGTGAAAACTCAAATTTTTTAGTTACTGGAACCAAACTATTATAGCAAACTGCACCTACCTAAATAATGAATAACCCACAGAAATGATTGAAGATCAAGCCCTAGTCCATTGTATAACTCAAGGTGCATGTAAGTTGTCTCAAACATCAATGATTATAAAATATAAGAACTTAAGATCAATTAATAAGCTTTTTCAAGATCGATCAACATTTAATATGTGGTGAATCAACATAAAACAAGAAGTCAATTAATGATGCATTGTTGAATTTTTTTAATAAGAAAATGAATGAATCCATTGAGTTTAAAGGCATATAAAAAGGGAGATGAGCTATACAAAGGCCAAAGGGTTAGAAACAGACTCCCCGTAAGCCTAAATATGTACAAGATCATATTACAAAAAGATATAGAAAGAGAGCACCAGATGGAGGCAAAGAATTTGATAGTCCCGAGCCTCCTCAAGGCTATTCAATTACTCCTTGAAGACCCTCTGATTCCTCTCAAGGGATATTCAATTGCCCTTTGAAGGCTATTCAAATGCCTAAATATGCACAAGATCATAATCACAGCCACTTTACTTGGTAATTAGGCTAATGGGCCTATAATCTGCCGATTAGCCGCTCTAAATCGTTTTGAAATGAGGCAAAAGTAGGTTTCATTCACACAATTACTAATGTTGCCCCTTTCAAAGAAGTCACGTAAGATTTTAAGAAGATTGTCTATAAAGATACCTTATGTATTTTTTTTCTCCAAAAATTCACCTGCATATCCGTCAGGCCTAGGGCCTTGTTTTTTCCTATCAAGGCAATGTCATTTTTAATCTCTGGTTCCACGAAAAGATGCTACAGCTCCTCTTTTTCCTCAGGAGGTCAAGTCTTCCAATTTAATCCAGAAATGCTGTAAGAAGGGCCAGTATTCTTCATGTAAAGTTTCTTGAAACAATTAACAGACACCTCGACAATATCCTCCTCCTCCATCAAATTTTTGCCATCTCTGTCTTGAAATTTCATAATCAAATACTTTTTCCTTCTTGCATTAACCGAAAAATGAAAAAAGAGGAGTTTTCATCTTCTTCATAAAGCCGCTTGGCTTTACTCTTCTGCCTCAATCTTCTTTCCTCTCTTAATAAAGTTTCAGAAAGCCTCCGCCTAAGATCTCTTATTGAATTCCGTTCTCCTTCTAAGCCCAATAATCTACTCCTTTTGGACCAGGAAAATTTACGACATTGATAATTTCATTCCCCTATGGCTGAGTAATGCCAAAAGTCTCCTAATTTCTCTATTTGATCTTTTTCTTTAGCATCTTCAACTTCCTTATCATAACAAAACCTGGCTATCCCTCACAAACCAGTTCTTTCCACCAAATATCAAAATTTGGTAAAAACTGATGATGTTGCAGCAAAAAAAATTCGAATCTAGAGGTCATCCAGCCCCAATTAAAACTTCTTGTCTCCAATCGTATGCAAAAATGGTTTGACATTATTTTGGAAAGCCTCATAACTCTCGACAACTGAAATTTCATATTCCATGCATTGTTAACAAAAAGACTCAATTAAGAACACATCACCGCACTCCTTCCACTTGACCAAATGAAATTGCCATTAGAAGGGCGGGGGGGGGGAAGATCAATGAGACTGAGGTCGGAGGTTATCTTGTTGAACTTTCTCATATGACGAAGTCTCCCTCCAGAGCATGCCTTAGAAGGTTCTCTCGTTATGTTGAAGTCTCCCTCCATGCACCAACATCTAGTGCAATAGCCACTGTGATTTCATAGTTCTTCCCAAGAATCCTTTTACTCGTACTAGGCTCATACTCATACTAGGCTCATATACTCTTGTTATCCAATAAGAAAAGCCACCAGTAAGCGTGAAATTAACGGAAATGGTATAATTACCCACCAGAGAGTCACAGGCTAAACATAAGCTACATTCCACAAAATAAAATTACACCAAACGCTCCTACAGATTGCTAATAGGCACAACCAATAGCTCAAGAAATCAAAATCGATTTGATGAGCTTCTTGTCAACAAAAGAAAATTTAGTTTCATGGAGAAGAACAACATCTGGATCACAATACCTCACAAAACTCTTAACAAGACGCCTGTGATAAGTGGCATCTAGCCTTTCCTTTGTTACTTCTTTACCTTTCTTCTAACCACAATTGACTGTTGTTTTAAGGCTCCAAACCTCCCTATTTTCTTTGACAGACGTCTTTTCCTGAGTTTGTAGTTTCTTCTCTTTTGGTCGCACAAAGATTTCCATGTCAAGGCTATCAAGAATAGAAACAAGGTCATTCAACCTTAGATTGAGATGAGACCATTATAAATCATCCCCAGAGCTTTTTCTTTTTCCCAAAATGTAATTAGAGCACAACCAGAAGTTAGGTCCATATCCGCATCATATGCTCCTGAGTTCTTCCCCTTTACTTTTGACAACTCTACAAAGAGATGTTTACTGATTTTCACATGTGAAAAGGATGTGTCGAAGATGAAAAGTTTTCTTTATTGAATAAACTGACTTCCCTAATTGGAAAAGTGGATTGGATTGGGCCTTCCATAGTTCTTATAGGCCTTTTCTTAGTTTTCTAGAGGATTTGGTGCAGCCTATAGAGCTTTCTTGTTCTTTGGGTGAAACCCAATTGGGTTGGGCTTCGGATGAACCACATTTTTCGTTCCTTTGGCCCACAAACTTTGAATTTGTAATCGTACTTTGATATGTTGACATGATCTAACCATCAAGAGTGCTAACACATAGGACAAGGATCTTCCTTGTTTCAGACCAAATGGCTACTTTTCCTCTTTCCTTCACATTAAGCCGCCCAGGGAGTCAAGCCATCAACTACCAACAGACATCCACGGGATTCGAACAATCTTCATCATGAAATTTTCATAGTATTGAACAGTGAAGCTACCATGAAGGCCGGCCATTCTCCCCATCAGCTTTCTTATGTCATTGAAAATCAAAATCTGAACTAGGATCAAATTTCCTTCATGGGCAATTAGAGAAATTTCCATCCAAACAAGTCCACGATAATTCCTCGCAATCTCAATTGACTCCATATAGTCCCAGTAGTTAAAAAGTTTTTAGGAAGCATTGAATAAACCCACCGCATGCATCTCCCATTAAACGGAAGGTCTCCCCACGCCACGTGGATAAAGGAAGATTTCATACTGAAATCCATCCTCCATACGAAGGCATTTTCTTGTTTTTCTCAATATCCCATCATTCAAACTTCACGATAAAGGAACCTACCATCGTCCATCTTTTATTTGGGCACAATAATCTAGCTTTTTCTACATTGTGGCATGTGAAAAGTGCCTTGTCTAAGTAGAAAGGGTTCAAAGTACAAGATTTGTCGGTGGGTTTCACCAACGTCTACCTCAACCTAAACCAGTCATCATGAAAATTTGCATGCATTAGAATAATGGTATAATCCCATTTCAACTCAATAAATCCATCCACTTTGTCATTGTTTGAGGCTAGTTTATTTGTCTCCGTCGACTCTTCTAGATTATTCTACAAATAATGTTGTTCCTTCTACTCAACATTTCGAGTAGATCCTTAGCTAGTTTCCACTTCTGTAAAAGGGTGCTTTATCATCTGCTTAATTGAATTTGTTGGACTGTCTTGCTTAACTTCTAGAGCTTCAAAACAATAATGCTCTTTAATCATCCTCACTGCAAATTTCCAGCCCTCTTTATTCTCTGCATATGGAATCACAATATTTTGCTTCCTTTCATTCCCTTCAAGTTTCATGATTTTAGAAAATATCCCTCTCTTGTTGCTTATCTTTTGGACCCATACATCCATTTTATCTTATCGTCTGCTTCTATAGAACTTGTGTGTGCTAGGAGCTAAGGTAAGGTCTATGAGGGTATCAAGAAGGCATAAAAGCTAGAACAAGTCAATGGTGATGTTGAATGATTTCTCCCCTCCTCTTTCCTCAATACAAAACTTCTTCTTATTCCATCCTCTATCTCAATGTAGCAAAAAAACTTTGTGCTCCACCTTGATTGTAAGATGCATATTAAAAACATCACTTGATTCATAGATAAAACAAAATTGCACAAACAATGGGTGTGCATTATTGGAAACTAATCAAGGATTTACCAAGATAAAGAATAATTCACCATTGATGGCATGAGGTGGATCAGTAATTTATGATTGGTTATATTGCTTACAAATCTTTCTCATTAAAGAATTGAAAATCATTTTGAGAATTTCAAAAGGGTGGTGATGAATGATGATCAACAATACTGAGGTGACAGACTAAATAGAATGAAAATAGAGAGACAACAGTCAAAAGATCAAAACCTGCAAATAGCCCAACCTCCGGAAAGCCCAAAAGGCTCGAGTTGACTTAGAGGAAGCCTCTTTGCATATAGCAACCTCTAAACTCTCCTTTCCTTCACGATGCAACAGATCGCACAATGCTTCCTAATTATAATTAACAGTGAGTATAAAATTAAAACTGGCACACACAAAGCAATAGACCAAGTAAACTAGAAGGAAAGACGCACTCCAGAGTGAAAATCATGAACATCAAGACTGACAGCTCTCTGGTAGCACTTGAGAGCCCTTTCGATGTCAACAGAAAATGTGGCATAATAATCCCCTAGATATTTGAAAGCAGCAGCATTCTGAGGGTCTAGTTTCGCTGATTTCAGAAAATGATCCGCAGCAACCGCCTTATCGTGGCTTCCGCCATTTTCCCACAGGAAAATCCCCTGCATTTCGCGTATGCATACAGGTTATACACTAAGTTCTTTATGAACGAATGGGGAGATTGAAACCAATATGTGAGAAAATTACGAGTTTGAAATGGGAGGAGGGGTCATCTGGATGAGCGTTAACTGTATCTTGCAATTGTCTTGATGTAATACAAGGGGTCCCCGATTCTCTTACATGATCTTTTTCTACTGCAACCTCTTCCTGGTACAAGAACGAAAAGGGAGAGCATTAAGAGAATAAAACAAGGTATAAACTGGGGAAGACCAAAAGAGAGAAAAAAGTGTGTTTGCATTCAACCATCTGAAAAGGAGTCTTAACACTAAATACAGAAATGGACTCCAATCCAAAAGAATAAAAACCAATCTGATAGTTACAAAAAAAAGAAAAACAAAAGTAACAGAGACCATTGATGTCGAAAACTATGCTTGAAACAAACAAATTCAATAATAGTAATCTCTAATTTACAAACTAAAGCCCCTTAAAAATAGGCAACAAACTTTACTAACCACCTAACTACAAAACCAGTGAGCTGAAACTAAAACTGAAAAGAATGAAGAGCTAACTTAACTTGTGGAGGACTTGAAAGATTAATGAAGCCAATAAGAGTGAGGAAAGGGGAGAAAATGAAGCCGAATATCACAGAAGCTGGGTGGAAATTATGTATAGGGAACCCACCTCGATGTGATAAGCTTTCTCGACTTCGGGTTCTGTAGCGGCGGGGCTGAGTCCAGGCACGACACAGCATTCCGTCTCCTTCACCATCTGGGACTTCCGATCAGCCGAATGATTTGACGATGTAGGAGTTCAAATGTTTGGAGGTTTTTAGAAGAATATTTTATTTGAGGCGGGTCCTTGGAGCGTAGAAGAAATACTAGAGAAGAAGGAAGAAAGAAGATGAGAAGGGGTTGTGTGCGGTGGGCTATCGGTGCAGGCCCATTAGAACTGTGGAATCCATATCCAGGGGGAAGGTCCATAAGCTTTTTAATTTTATTTTAATTAAGAAGATAATAGAAACATTAAGTTATGGGGGCACCGGCGCAGATTAAGAATCCAAGATTCTTGGTCATCAAATGAATATTTAGATGAGCTCTGAAAAGTGAGTTTAGAGTGCAAAAGTCCAAAAGCTAAAAAAGCAAAACACCACTTACCAACAGAGGGAATCACTAGGATGCCATTCTTTTTCTGTTTCAATCAAAATAAAAATAATGGGAAGCACAACAATAATCTCTCCCTCGTTTTGAATTATTAGGACCCAATTCCATCCCCTTTGCATTTAGAAATTATGTTTTAGAAGATACTTGTGCATTAGACACAAAATTGTTTAACGCAAAACTGTTTAACGCAAAATTGTTTACTGGTGTTTATTATTATCATCATCATCATTTTTTGAAAAGAAAAGAAAAGGAAAAAAATATATATATCTTAGTATGGAATTAATAGGTTAGTGGATATCTCTATCTTCCGTGAATCCGGAGAAATGATTTGAAGAAAGAAAAAGAAAGGCGATGTGGAAAGGAAAACTGATGTTTAAAAAAAACGAAAATGGGAATCGAATATTAGGAGACAGAGGAAACACAATATGAATGATACGTATTGGATTGTATTGTAAATGTATTGTACTGAGTTGGAGTGATACCGATGGATGGGCCGAGGTGGGTGGAAGTTGGAACGTGGAAGCAAACTCCCACAGGCATCTCTCCCCACTTTCCTCGCAATTTTACTCAAAAAGCTTAAAACACCAAACCTTGACTTTTGTGTCCGCCCAGTCCCAATCCCAATCCCAATCCCCAAGATTTAGAGCCCCACCACTCTGCTCCTTCAATCAAAATAACTCCTCTGCCTCTGCCTCCGCCTCCGCCTCTGCATGCATCCAGCTTGCAATTTGCTTAGCTTCTATTATTATTCTTTCTACTGCCATGCATATGCATTGTTATGCCATTTCCTCTGTCTTTCCTAAAAACTAAAAAGCACTTGGGTTCCTTATTCCTTTCTTTTCATTTCTTATATCTTATTTAGTCTTTTCCGTATGCAAATTAGTCAAGGGTGCCTTCCTTGGTGGCATGCATATGTGTGTGTGTGTGTGTGTGTGTGTGGGGTAACATCTTCTCCTCTCTTCATATACTCTCCCTCCCTTTACTATAAATACTCTCCAACTCTGCTTCGAGTTTTATACCCACTAATCTATTAACTGAAGGCCACGCCATTCCAAATCGAGAGACAAAGAGACAGAGAGATAGTGATGAATAAGGGAATGATGAGCGGCAAACCCAATTTGAGGAAGACTAGAACTTTTTTCCTGCACAAGAACCAAACCTCGATGCAGCAGGCAATCATTCCGAACCAACCAGCTGAATCCGGAGAAGAGCATAATAATCATTATATTGAGAAAGAGAGCCCCCCGGGGGCGGTGAAATTCCCAGTGTCCCCTCAGCTGATGAATGGGGAAGAGATGGTCCATTTCAGTCACCCTCGACACCGCCTGTCCCGGATGTGTAATCTGAACCTGTTTACGTGCGGCGGGTGCAAGGAGTACGGCGCCGGCAACGGATTCAGTTGCCAACAATGTGATTTCCAGCTCCACGACTTCTGCGCCTTCTCCCCTCCGGCCCTCAAGGCCCACCCCTTCCATTCCCACCACCAGCTTCTCTTTTACTCCAAGCCAGGTGTGTGTGTGCTATTTACTATACTATACTGTACTATACTATACATGCTGGGTTGGGCATTCATTAATTAAGTTTCTTTTATGATGCAGTGAAAGGGGGCATCATGCAGTCCAAGTGCGACATTTGCGCGAAGCCCATAAAAGGATTTGCGTTCCGATGCGGGGTGTGCAGCTTCCAGATGCACCCTTGCTGCGCGATGCTGTCTTTGGAAATGAAGATGCCATCGGTGCACCCGCACCCGCTGAGGATGGTGGGAGCAACAACATCATCAGTAGTGGAGCAGCCGAGAAGCTTGGTGGGGTGTGGGGAGTGCAAGAGGAGGAGGTCGGGGAGGGTGTACCGTTGCACGGTGTGTGATTATCAGGTGCATGCAGTGTGCGCAAAGAGCGTGAAAAACGGCCTCCGGGAGAAGGGGTACAAGGAAACAGAGAAGGCCAGCGTGCTTGGGACTGCCGCAAGACTCGCTTCTCAGGTGGTGGTTGAGTTCTTGGGAGGCATCATCGAGGGCCTCGGAGAAGGGGTTGGCGAAGCCTTAGTCCAGAACATCAACGGCAAGGCCGCCCCCACACCTCTTCATCATCGTTAATTATCTCTGCCTCCAAAATCACACACAAACATATACCTCCTTTCTACTCTTCCTCTTTCTTTCTTCCTTCCCTATGATTATTATTATTGTTGTTGTTGTTGATTTTCTGCATCCCCTTCCTGCATATATATCATTTGAAAAATATCTACATATTATTTGGGCTAATCGTGTATTTGCCATGTGTTTTTTTTTTTTTTTAATTAAAAAATGGATGCAGAGCAGCTAGCAGACAAGTGTTGTGTTATTTTAAGTTTGTTTCCACGTTCCATACGTATGAGTATTGGAAGTAGCGTGTGTTTTGTAATTAATGTGTAAATTATTTTAATCATTGAATCTCTTGAGCTTCAATATCAAGGTACACTTTCTTCTCCCTTTACCATTGATATGGCTGAGATTAATAAATTAAGCAGCAGCCTATGCCTAACTTCCATATCCCAAGGAATAATATTATATATTCTGTTGGCCCAACCTTTTCTTTCCTCCCTTTAATTCCCACGTAAATGCAACTTAGGATCAAAATATATGTATATAAAGTTATTCAATATTGGACGCCAATGGATGAAAACCTAACCTATTCCTTTATTTCCATTTTCCATCTAATTTAACGCTCCAAAGGGAAAAAAAAATCCAGCAACCTGAGTGGCTCGATTATAAATAGTCGACCCCAACCCTCTTCTTGCACAGGCACACAACCCCACACGAGTTCTCAAGCCATCAAACTTATGAGTTAAATTTAAGAGATAATATTTAGGTATTTTAAATCTCGATGAGTGTAATGCTTGAAGCAAATCTAAATTCTCTACACAATTCTGCACAATCTAGTTTAACACAAGATCTTCTTATGTCAAATACTCTTAATCTTAATTTTTAAGATTTTGAAAAACTAAAAAAGAAAGATTGGGTCATGTAATTTTTCTATATTGGACCCTTTCATCTACTTGAGAAAAAATTATTTGATTGAGACAATTTCTGTACAAGTTAATAAGATTCAATACAATATATATTCCTTTCACTGTTCCTCACCACCTTTCTTAACAACCTTTCTAATAATCTCTCGTGTTGAGGAAGCTTGGGTAATTAATAAGCTAATGAGAATGGATAAGTATGGAAACTATGATAAACTAATTTAGTTGAGAAGTATAATGGCCACAACATATTCCATTATATGAGCAAGAAAAAATTTATTCAAATTTAAATATAAAACAAATAAAATAAAACCCTTATCCATTTCCTTCAACAAATACCAATTACCATGTTCAGAAGTATAGTGTTCAAAAAATTGAGGGACCCAAAGAATTGGATGAACCCAATTCAATTGGTACCATTTGAGTTGGAGTTGGGTCATTCCAGCAAAGTTTCTGTCTTATCAATAGCTCTGCCGCTACAAAATACGATAGGTTTGATCTCTGGGATTCCGATATCTCGAAGACACAGTTGGAAGGCAATGGCAGATAGTAGAAGAAAGTTCTGAGTTATGTCAAAGTGGGTGACGATGAAACAACCAAAACCTATGCCGAAAGAATTTCAAGTTAGGACAGTCGGAAGGGCATCAGGGCTTGGTGTCCAACGGCCGCAGAAGATGCTAAAAGAACGAATGGCAGGAGAAGAAGAAGCAGCAGAAGCAATGTTAAAAGGCATAGGCAGAAGAGTGGGAGTAGGAAGGGAAGAAGGTAAGCTTGTTCAAAGAAAGTGTGCGCACTCTCTTAACAAGACTATTAGAATAATGTGAAGGGTGGAAGTCAATCCAGTTCAGCTTTCTGCCAACCTATTCTTTCAATTGCTACACGGCACCACAAATATTTATTTAATCTCTACTCCCTCTTTTTATTTTATTTTTTAATCATTATTTCTCAATAGAGATGGTCACCAAAGTTCTTCTTAACTATTTAATTATCCATAACTCTCAAACTATAACAAACTTACACTATTTTTACAATAAATTATAATATAATGTCTTACTCTACTTCAATATTCACTCATGTTATATAATAAAATAAAACTAACTGACCTGGAAACACAAGAAGACTACAAGATGAATAGAATATGAATGAACAGAGTTGCAAAATGTAAATTGAAAAGGAAATCAATGAATGATGATAACAAAACGTGTTATTGTAGGAATGGAAGGCGATGGGTACAGAACAGTGACCTGCACTGGGCCTTGTCTTTGACCAGAAGTCTTGTAGAAGTATAAATGTGATTGGATCAACTTTACATTGTGTTGTTTGAGACAAACTGCAATATTTATATATCAGATTATATTCATACTTACTAATTACTGCTTACCTTATGGCATGCTACTAAGAAATAACAATTGAATAAAAGAAAAAGAAGGGAAGGAAGACGGAATGGATGGGGGTGAGGGGAAGGCCAAGGCCAAGGCTAAACCAAGCTCCACCGGATAAAATCATACCTTTCTTCTTCAAAATCATTCATCATTGTCGGCCTGCACCTTATGGTGGCGCCTTCTTCTGTTATACGCAGGCTACGCTACATTTCAAAACCTCAAACCTTTGCCTTTGTCCACAGCTGCAAAAGAATACAATACAATACAATCCCCTTCTAACCAATCCATTTGTCTCTACTTCACAGCTTTATTTATAACGTCAGAGCATTCTTCA